AAATAAGAAAGAAGAAAAAAAAATGTTTGTTTCCCATTCAGGACATCCACTTCGGTGAGAAGTTTTCGCGGGAGTGGTCAGATGGCGGCGAAGAGCCGGTAAAGGAGGGTGTGCTGCATGGACCGAAAGGGCTGGCTGGCCAGCTGATCAGGAAGCACGATAGCGAAGCTGGCAGGCGCGCGGTCCGCTCGAGAATGCAACGCGTGTGCAAGTGTCACGGTGAGCCATTAACGCGTTCTACAGATAACACGGCTATCTACGCTCTTATTTTTCATTCCTCACGCTTTAACGACTTAGGATTTCACCAATCCCTTGTCTTTCCCCCCTCGTCGCTCTCTCGCGTTCATGCGTGCACAGATTCATGGGAAGAATCTCTCTCTCAACCTGTTTCTCCGAGCCACGAAGCCAAGCATCCGTGAGAAGGAGGAATGCGATGTTCGTTTTACTAGTGTCTCCTTCCCTTCGACCTGATGACGACCGTGATCTTTTCTTGCTTGTTTCACTTTGACCATCTCTAGTTACTTATGAGACGAGTTAAGGAGGTTATGTCTGGAGAATGAACGGAATTCGCTCAAGTTGAAATTATGCTAAATATAATCCGGAATGTTTCGGGCATCCATTAAGTGGTATCGAAATAGTTGACGCATTTTCTTTTCAATTCTAAACACTTTCCGGCGAAATATTTGGACGAGAAGCTTTTCAATTGCAAGATTAAAAAAATCTTTCCCGCCTTCAGGAATTAATTGATTTTTCGCGATCGTTCGTAAATCGGGAATTCGTAAAATGAGAGGCTTGTTCTAACTGATCATTACTTTATTACATACTGTGTAATTCCCCGTACAATTTAAAATGAAAATTCTGATCCGAAAATTTCGTAAAGATAAAAATTGGTAAAGCAGGAATCCGTAAAGATAAAAATTGATAAAGTAGGAATTTGTAAAGTTTGAACGACCTGTATTGGTTCTGTAATTTAATTATTTCGAGTAACATTTTTACAGAGAGAGAATCCTGCGACGGAATGTTTTGAATAATTATTACACCCTGTATGTCTCCTTTTAATTCATAATAAATCAAATCTTCTTAGTAATTGAATAATTAAATCAAATCACACTTTTTTTTAATTTATATTTAAACGCAATTCTTTGTTATTGTCGCAGGTATGTCTGGCTCGTGCAGCGTGCGCGTTTGCTGGAGAAGACTGCCGGCGTTCAGGGTAGCTGGAGCAGCGCTGGCCGCGTTGCACGAAGGCGCTGCTTTGGTACGACTGGCGCAACGTGGCGGCAGAAGACCGGCAAGACTAAGGCCTGCTCGTCCGGATCTCAAACGACCTAACAAAACGGACCTAGTTTATCTCGAAGACAGTCCCGACTATTGCGAAAAAAATATCACGTGAGAAATTGAAATTATGATTCACCTCGTCCAGTCTTCCAAATACAGCAAAGATTGCTTGATAAAAAATTCATCTACCGCTGCATTCAAGAATATATACAATTCAAATAGATCCTTTTTCCTTCCTTAACTTTATACTTGGTACACTGTGTTATTTATTTTTGCCGAGAGAGGACACCAGCATCTACACCTTCTTAAGTATCATAATAAAGAGGGGGGGAGTGACGTTAAATGTTGCTAACTTTAAACCGTCCACAATTTAACTTCTGCCTTTTTATCACAAAAGAAAATTGTTTACCGCGTTCCGTGTCACGTGTACATGATAGTTTTCACAGATAAAAGCTTGCAGTAGGGGAAAAAAATATTCTTGAACTCTCAGTACTCAACTAAAATACGTACAAGAGTAGATTAAAGATAAAAGAATTTAATACTACTACTGACACTTTTCTATAATAAAATATTTTGAAGCTTTCCCCGTAACTCGTGTTTTTCTTGTGGCGCGAGAAACGTGATAAAAATGAATTTATTGTTAAAAAAAAACAATTGTTTTGTAATTCCAGGCTCGGTATACCCGGTACGAGAGGAAGAATATGCAATCGAACGTCCCTTGGACTGGACGGCTGTCGGCTGCTATGTTGCGGTCGAGGCTATCAAACTCGAGTCCGAGACGTGACCGAGAAGTGCAACTGTCGGTTCGTCTGGTGTTGTCACGTGAAGTGCGAGCTGTGTCGGCACAAGCGGGAGGAGCACGTGTGCAATTAGGCGGTGAATAAAAAAAATGAAAATGGAAACGAAGAGAGAAAATTGCATTCCGGTCGGCCTATCAACCGAAAGGTGCTTTCACGACCCTCTGCGTCGAGGCAGTTTCTAATGGTCGCAACGGAATCAGGGTAGAGACCGCGCGCATCTACCACCTCCCGAAAATTTGTTTTCTTCAACTTTCTTTTCTTCGTTTCGCGTAGATTTGTTTTTTTTTTTATTTTCAGTTTAAGTTAATTCATCGAAGCCGCGACCCATGACGGACATGGGTTACGAGCCGAGAGAGAAGGAGAACCGCCGCGAGAGGCTACGAAGTGTGACATTGTTACGTTAGAGCATTCTGTACCTGACAGTCAGAGTGTCGTAAGTCCACACTCGCGCTTCGAACAAACATCGACATTAGGTGTAACTGTGCAACTTCAGAACGGTCAGAGTGACGTTCCTGCGTGCGTCTGCCTTCTACAGGGTGGTACCATTGATTTTTTTACATATTTCTATTGTTTTTGCTGATGGAAGTGTATGTCAGAGGAAAGGAAATTTTTTTTTTTTTGGTAAAAAAATATTCTCCGAAAGGTTAAGTTAGGTTAGATTTTGAGTTTGAGTTTTACGCAGATCAAAAATGATTACTGCGTTAACTCTAACAATTCTTGAACATAGAAAATTTGGATCTCGAGTTGTATAGAATGACCTTGAGTAACCTTGAAAGAAATCGATTATTTCAAATGTATAATTTTTTTCTGATACTTTTTCCTATCGTTAAACATGTAATAAAGCTAAGTAAAATGATCATAATAAATGGAATACCCTGTAGAAAAAACACTCCTAAATAAAAAAAAATTCTCGTCACAAAAGAAAGAAACCGCTGGTGTCGTCATAGTATTAGCACACTAGCGAGTACGTGAGACGTCCGTGAAGTTGCAGTTACGTGGCTTATCATACTAGTCTGACTCTCAGGTGCACCCTAATTATTTATGTAAATGTTAACGTGTTGAGGATCAACGATAAAAATCGCTCCAGTTCCCAAGAATTTCCGAAGAGAAATTGTGTAATGGGAATTGGACTCGACTAATCAACATGATTATTGTAATGGAATATTTCGAAAGGATCATTTTTATATTCGATCGTGTACTGCTGCTCCCTTTCGTTTTACGACAATGAATTTTTTATGTGACACCGAGCAAAACGTATCGTGACGTGCTAATTTCGCGCTGAAACTCAATATGTTAATAATTTACAGTTTTTGCTGACGCAAGTGAGCGAGTGAGTGAACGAATGAACGAGAGAAAGATAAAATGTGAAGCGTGCGTGTGTTTCCGCGTGAACGAGATCGAGTGTCCGGATAAGCGAGCGTCTGAGCGAGAGAGGATGAAATAGAGTATAATATAGGCGAGATATTAGGCCACTCGACGACCATTCTTTACGTTCTTTCCGTTTCTTTCTGTGTCTTTCTTTCTGCGTTTCTTCTCTTCTGTCCCCCTCCTCACCTACCGCGCTCTTTTCTGTTCGTGCTCGCACATTCGCGTATGGCGCGAGAGTCTTATTTATATTCGAAGTAAAGACCTCCACGATGTGTAGGTATCTCATTGTATACCAATGCTCTCTAGCGCGTAGAACAACCACCTTGTCTTCACCTAAATACGAAGCAAAACTACAGCGAGCGGCAAAAATATGCTTAGACGCGAAGCCGGAAGCGTGACGGTGAATGAAACGCGATGCTGGTTACGCTGAAGCTTTCTGAATATTCTTCTGGCTGGAACAAAACTCGAAACACTTGCATTGTCCAACTAATAGATGCAGTAAGTTATACGAGACTGGTTGAACGTACAATTCCCTAAGCACCGTCACCAAGAGAAAACAAAAAAATGAATTTTAAAATGTCATTCATAAATATTCACTACCTTAAAACATTAACCAAGCACATAGAATACTAAAAAAAAAAGAACAGAACAAATTGAATAAAATATAAGAAATACAATTTTCTCAGTGACTAAAGTTAAGTAATGGTGGGAGGTGTCCACTCCGTAGCGACCTTGAGCTTTGTCTGATCTCATCCAGGCTATAGCCAATCAAAAGAATATTCTAAACGCTCCAATACAACTCAAACACCCTGCAGAGGGGTGTTTACAACGCATTACATACTTTCCGTCTACGAGCGCCTGGATACTTTCGCGGCTCACTGTACGCGAGGCTCGCAGTATGTCGGCCGCGTAGTCGGTGGAACAATGCGAGTTACGAGGAGCGAGGCGGACTACGAAAGCGAGAGTTAACACCAGGTCGAGGAAAAAGGGAGTAGAGTGAAGCAGCGGGAAGAGGAGAGAAGCGTAAAAAAAAAGGAGAAAAGGAGGCCACAGTAGCGACACGCGTAATATCCGCTCTCGAGAGTTCGCCTCGAGTCGCTCGATTCGGGAACAATACTGCCAATGACTGTACATACTACCGTCTTATACTGTTTTGTAGATTTTACGTCCACGACTGTCGCGCTGTATATAGATAAGCATACACATACACACACGTACACACATAAAAACAATCGATGTTAATTAGGTTCATCGAATGCGCTGCGTCGAGAGAGAAAAAGACAGAACCGGGAGCTTTTTTCCAAGATAACAATCGCTCCTGTGCTTTCTGCAGCCTCTCTACTTATCTCGATTTTTTTTTTTTCTCCATCGAACAACGTTCAGTTGGAAGTCTCTGATGAATTTTTGCGTAGAGAAAATAACTTTTTATGATATCTCATTGCGCGAAGTGGAAGCTGCTGTTTCGTCGCATTTCAGCCACGCTGATCTGGATAGATCACATGTCTAGTCAATTATGAAGTCCAAATTGATCATGTCGTTGCGATCCCCAACGCCAGTGCTATTGCTCGACGTATTTTTTCACTTTTTTACACGAAGAATTTTTTGTTTATCTTCGCCCTTATTTTTGTCTTTTTTTTTTTACACTGGAGTTTACACAGTTGTCCTTATTACACTACGTGTTTTTTGTTCTCTCTTTTTTTTTTTTTTTACCGAGGATGAATTGTTATTTTAGAGGATCGATTTTTTACTTTTATACACGACTAATTGTAGCGATGATGATCTTTTCTATCGAATCGACACGCGGTTACGCGAGATCTCTGTTGACGCGAGTCGACGATGACTGTATGCTAGTGTACAGGGTGTTTAGCGTAGAATATCATTTAGGTTAATATTCTAAGGTTAACCTATAAAATGATTTTACTACCGTGTCTATATACGATAAAAAGCAAAAGGCAGAATTATTTGGAAAATATTAGATTTTTGACGTTAATAATAGAAACACCCTGTATATTTATGCGAATGATCATTCTCCGTTCGAATGGCATATAAACGAATGCGGCTGATCTAATTAGAAGAACATGGCCTTAAAAGAAAGAGAGAGAGAGAGAGAACGAGCGAGCGAGCGAGAAAGAGAAATCGAATGAACTTACAGGTGGTACACCGATTCGTCCGTACGTGTTTGTTAAGGAACTAGGCGATTTAACGCACACGAGCAAGCACTCGTGCAACGAGACGACACATACAGAGCGCAGTATTCAAAAAAAATTTTTGTAATTTATTTTTCTCTCCTCGTCGACGAATAACACGCTACATCATACATTTCTAGCTTTCTTCCAATTCAATCAATCAATCAATCAATCAATCATCAATCAATCAATCATCAATCAATCAACCAATCTTATCGATCAAGTATTCACGTAAATAGTTACGTCTCTTCATTAGCAATGAGATAAACCCTAGCTCGTAACATTTGTATTTGTATGTACCTGTACTCTACGTGCATTTATATAAATACATATGCGAAAAGTGTCCGTAATTAGCCATCCTATCAATTCCATGAATGTATTCTCAATTATCCATATTTATCATACTTATCGTGTGTATCTTCCCTTTGATCTCTGTGTCCTCTTAGATATTATTAAATATCTAGCTAACATGCAACCAATTGCCGTGAACGCTCCTACTATAATACCCACAAAGAGACCAAGGAAAAATTGAATATCTTCGTTCGAGGTTCTTGCTGGACTAGTTGCTACCATAAAATCCAAATTCCAATCCTTTGACCTGACCATGTAACGCAGCCAATAGATCAATCTATCTACCGCAGGATTTATCCTGTCACGAATGGCTAATGAAACTTTTCTAGCGTTCTCACGATAATCCATGGTCTCGTGGATTTGGATCACAGTGTTGGCCACCTTCTGGCCAGTTAAAGAACGGATCTCGTTAACGGAGCGTGCAAAGCCTAGCTGGACCACTCGGGCAGCATTTTTGGTTTCGTAAACATTTCTGGGGAAACATATGACTGGAGTTCCGTGGAAGGCGGCTTCCAGAAGTTCTGTGTCTGCACAGTGACTTAATACGACTCTTGTTCGTCCATAACCTGGAATAATATGATAATAATATTGGAAAAATATTGTTCGAGTACTAGAGACTAAAAATAATAGACATATAAATAGTATAGTTAGGTTAGGTTAGATCGTTTGATACAGAAAATATCAAATGATTAAAGGTATAGCTTTAATCAAGAACCTATTAGGATTCTACGCGGAGATTATAAGGTTTCAATGTACTGTTCTTCTACCTATCAGGTCTTGCCGATCAATTCCCGGGTGAATGAAAAGATTCTCTGGCAGTGAGGCAGTCGAGCTTTGCCATTTCATGTTCTTCCATACCACCGCCTGACCCTCCCTGCCCTGCGGCAGTTTCTGTGCCAGCTCCTTAATTAACGTCTCATAATTCTCGTCTAGAAGGGCCACAATAGTGCCCAGTCGGAACTCGATCAACGCCTTGTTCACGTCGGTTTGCAATGGATGTGCTCCTCTGCAGTGATGACAGCCGACCTGTAGTGCAAAAATCGTTGCAGTAATATTTTCCTTTTGTAATTTTTAATTGTGTGTCGGATGTAGAGGTTATTTTATGGTATCATTAATAGGGTAGACAGTATACACAGGGTAGATTATTATAGGAAGAAAAAGAGAGGGTATTACGTTACTGGGATTCGAACCTGAACCTTTCATTTTCCAAACGAATGCGCTAATCAATTAAGCCTCCGACAAGTTTGCCGTGGTGCAACGTTAAAATTAACGCAGTGGCATGTTTGAATTTTTTAATTATCAAATTTTCGGATTATTAAACTTTCAAATTTTTTAATTTTCGAATTAAACAATTTTTAAAACTACACCAAATACACTAATCGTGGAATGCACGATCGACTAAAGTGAACGTTGAAAAATATTTTACTAGGAAAACAGGAGACAGTGCGGAGTAAGCATTTGATATTAACCACCACTCACCTCCACGATAAGTTGAGTGAGTGGAGCGAAATCTGAACGCAGGACAACGTCAGCGCCCCAAAGTATAAGGCGAACATCAGCGTAAAGATTGTCTAAATTGAGGCCGGTGTTTGGCAAGTATTTTTCCGCTATCCGGAGAGCATACACCGCAAACTCTTCCCTGGCCGTAGAGAATATTGACCTCCTCGAGGAACTCGTCCAGAGTCTACTCCAAAATCCCGCATTCTGAACCGGCAAAGCAGCGCCAGTGTATTCGAAAACGTATACCTCCTCCTCCCGATCGCGTGTCAATATCACCGGAATGGAGTCAATGGTTTTCGCCCACGGTAGCAGACAACCATCGTGTCTAAATATTGTAAAATTATTTTTGTAATTATAGTCATACTTCTGCAATAATTTTAAACATTTATTTTTATAAACAGTGTGGGAATTGAATGCAAGCACACGACCGATATTAAAAATAGATAATAGATTGTTCTGTACGTATGACTCAGCGATTGGTTACAGGAAATCAACTCGTCTTCCTTATAGTTCACTATAATCTTATCTTCGATAGCAAAGTATAATTTTAAGGAAATAAGATTTAATATCGTTTTGATATAATTATTTAATACGCTTTTGACTCACGTTTGGAAATTCTACCATAAGCCTCGAATCTCGCATAATACCGATTAAACGTACCTGAGAGCAGGAAACACGGTGAAGGTAGGCTGAATTTTCTGTAAATTATTCGCAATCTCTTCATTCTTCAACAGTGCTTCGCATGCCGTGATCGCTTTCTTCTCTGGATACGCTGATTCCTCAAATTGAACTTTCACCGTCACCACTTCAACATCGATTAACGTTTCGTAAAGCTCACCCTCGCTGTACGCCGGTATAATCAGTGTGACATCGATCCCTTGATCCGACAGAGTGTTGGCTAGCAAGGATAAATCATAGATATCTTCGAAAGCAACTACCACTGCCGATAACGGAGGTGCGGTTAACGTCGAACTGTCAACGACGTTCATCAGATAAAGATACACGCATAATCCAACGATTACCGACATTCTGATCGAACAAAAGGAACAATGGATAAAGATGAAATCTGGAAGAACGTGTTTCGTGCCGAGCTTACTCGAGGGAACGTTAAAATACAATACGTTAAAAAGAAAAACTAAAAAGATAGCCGTATCTTTTGGATAAGATCGTGTTCATTCTAATTTTGAGCAACGTTCAGTCAGTTATCGTCATATTAACCACGATTTCGCAACGGGGTCATTTATTCACTGAAAAAAGAGAAAAAGGGACTGTCTCGAAATTTTGTAGCGACACGAAAGCGCTACTTCCTACAACGAAGAACCGATATCGATATTCCAGAAAACGTTGGTGATCTTCCGTTGAAGTGATTTTCGTAGTAAATAGATACACCGAACGATTAAGATGTGGTGCTCTGAATTTCTAATGCACTAAATCGAAGTTTAATCCGTTGAAAACACTTTTTATATTTTGATGAAACTGTTTCGTTTATTCTTCGCAATACACGAATCTTTACAATCCAGTCTTAAAATATGTACATCCACAGAGTAGAATTTTGGCGCCTTACGGGTGTACTCTCACAATTTGCGTAAGTAAACACTACTTTCCACTCGAAGCATGCAGACTTCACGCACAGAATACTAAATGACTTGAGCCGGAAAGAGATGAATATTAGGCGTACAAGCGACTGCTTCTCCAACACACAGAACTGCCACGAAGCGCAAGTGATCGCGTGGGTCGTAACATGCGACTTTCGTAAGCAAACGAATGCTTGGGTCAGCGGTCCAGAAAGAATCTTCGATGCACGAACCGGCTAAAAGTTCTGGAAATATGCGTTCATATTATAGACTGCATTCCATATAGGTATAACGCGTGATTTCGTGTTATGATGCTGATGTAATGATTTAATTGAAGTCTTTAAGTGTAAAACCAAGCATATAACGGCAACAACACGTTAATATAGAAAAAATGAGATGCTGATATGCATGTATTGTATAGAGGTTAGGTTTTGTAGGATAGATTATATTTCTGGCGATTACGTTTGCTTAAACACACACTTTTATGGATTCACCTCTTTGTACACTAAAAAATATTTATATTTTTCATTCACGGATGAAAATTATTTTTATAATTATTTAATTGTATTAACTATATTGTAACGTATGTTTTATACGTTGGTTGGCAACTTTCAACGGATCGTTAATGTGATTATAAAATTTAATATTAAAACTAATTTTTGGTTTAGTTTTTAAATATTGTTTATTATTAATGATCCTCAAAGAACATTCACAATAAACGTCTCATCACTGCGATATATCTGTTAAGATAAAATGCGATAGAGTGCACTGCATCCGATTAAATATTTTCAATCTAACTCCCTATTGGTAGACACAGGGAAGCGTGCTTTACGGTTACGATTCTGAGGTGGTTTAGTTTCAATTGCGAAGTTAGTTAAAATAGGTTAATTATAAAGTGTAAACGACATAGTGTATAAATGTGTTAAAATAATTTATTATTTTTAGTTCGAACACTGATTGTTTGTTCTGCGAATGTTCATTTGATAGTGTATGACTTTTGAAATACACAAGGTTAACTGTAAAGTAGTTGTTTGTAAAATTTAAAAATAAGAAACATAATGTGTAACAGCTGAAACTTCTAAACGAAAATTAACGTATCTAAAACCTAACCTCAACTTTAAATATATATCATTATATAGGTGATATAACATAAAAAATAAAAATGAGTTTCACATTCAACGCTGCAAAGTCCCAAGCCAGTACAACTCCAGCAGGCAGTACTCCAACTACAAGTACTTTTCAAAATTTTGTAATAAAAAAATGAAATAAACTTTTTTATTACACCAATTCTTTTTTTTAGCTTTTACATTTGGAGCTACTGGTGCTGGAGATGCAGCAAAACCAACAGGATTTTCCCTTACATCTACACCTGTACAAAGTAAACCTGGTAGTGTATTTGGTGCTGCATTAAGTAATCCTGTCCAAAATACTGGATATATTTTTGGGACACCTGCTTCCACTCCTGCAAATACTGCACCTCTACAACCACCAGGTCTAACATTTGGTGCTGTTGCAACAGCAGCTACAGGCTGCCAACACCAACACTTTATACCAACACCAGCTGCAAGTACCCTAAGTTTCAGTTTAGGAGGCACTGTAACTGCTACAACAACAACAGCAACATCAGCTTTTGCATCTAAACCACTTACTGGTGGATTTGGCTTGGGAGGTGGTGAAGCTGCTGCATCCACTGCTACCACTGGCTTAACATTTGGTACACCAAGTACAATGGCAGCAAGAACTGGGTTTAGCCTTTCTGCAGCACCTGCTGCAACTACAACAGGGACTACAACCACAACAACAACAACAGGTATTGATTTGCAAGTATGAATAAAATACAGGGAAACAGTAAATATAATTTTATAAAAAATGTATTCAATATATTCAAGGCTTTCCATTAAGTGCAAGTGGAACAACCTCTGCTGCCACAAGATTCACTTTCGGTACAGGTACAACTGCAACTAGTACAACAGGATTTTCTTTAAACCAAACTGCTGCTACACCAAGTCTCACAAGTACCCAAGCATCATTGGGAACAACTACTACGTAAGCCCATTTTTATTGTACATGCATTGTATTAGTATACAATATTTTATTATGTTAAATGAAACATTACAGTGTTAGTTCATCTGCTGGTACACTTCAACTAGCTTCTATAAGCTCATTTGAAGATTCCATCAACAAGTGGACCTTGGAACTAGAGGAACAAGAAAAAGTATTTGTAAATCAAGCTGCCCAAGTAAATGCTTGGGATAAATTACTTATAACTAATGGAGAGAAAATAGTAGCACTTAATCAGGAAGTTGAAAAAGTGAAGATTGAGCAGCAACAATTAGAACACGAATTGGACTATGTCGTAAGTTGCTTATTATATTTTACTTACATTTAGAATATTTTACTTACAATTATATAATTGCAAATACAGGTTGGCCAACAAAAAGAGTTGCAAGATTGTTTAGTCCCATTGGAAAAAGAATTGGCGTCTCTTTCAGTTTCTGATCCAGAACGTGAATACACGTATCGTTTAGCAGAAGACCTAGACACGCAATTAAAACGAATGTCGGAAGATTTGAAAGAAATCATCGAACACTTAAATCAAGCCAATCGTACTCAAGATTCCAGCGATCCAATCGTTCAAATCGGCAAAATATTGAACGCACACATGAACAGTTTGCAGTGGTTAGACCAGCAGACGACGTTGCTCAGTCACAAGATACAACAAATTGATCAGATGCATCAGAACTTCAGACAAGAAAATGAACGAAGTTTCAGTTTAGCGTATAATTAATGTTAATCGTCGAATTTTTATAATTGTTCCACGTGAAATTTGTAAAAAATATATATTTTATTAAAATATCACCGTTAAAACCAGTACAGTTCAAGTGGTCATTGCAGGAAGGAAATAATGTATTTTAAGATAATCCGATAATTGTAGAAACAAGTTCACCATCTGGTCTTGCAGTATGTTACACTTCACGCTTTCGGGATGCACTACGTCCCAAGCCAAAAACATAAGAAATTTTCTGATGTCCACTGTAGCCGATATTTTATCTTCACATTCCTGTTGACTGCAACTCCAAACTTGTAAATTTTGGAAATGCGTAGACACTGTCGCGTTATCCGTCTCAATTTTCAATACAAATGTGCCAGACTTGTCAGCACTTATGGTTATTCGAGGGCTCATGTTTTTCATCCTCTCCACGATACCCTTTACATTTCGTAGTTGAGGCATATCGACTGATATCTGAAATAAAAATACAAAAATGTCATCAAAAAATAATAAAAGCTGAGAAGAAAAAAAATAAGTTATGAATGTAGTTTGTACATCAAATTCCGGTATATTTGGTGCTTGATGGTCTGCCCATTCACGGCGTGGTATAACTCTGACAGGTACATCATGCAAACATTGCTCTATGCTTAAGGAAGGTAATTCGATTTCCAATGTAAGACAAGGCTGTCTTTTATTTGTTAGCTTTATTTTTACGCTTTTCGCGGTCATTCGGAGGGAACTGAGCGATCTAGCTAGCATAGAAGCCTCGAATTCTAAATAAATTTCATTCTGTTCTTCTGTGACTCCGTTCATAATATATTCAGTAAAAAAATGAGTTTGTGTTAATTCCGCCCAAAACAACGACGCTCGATCTTCACCGATGCTGAAGCACAACTGGTCCGACGTTAATCGCAAGGTACAATGTTTTGTTATCCGAGAAATAATGTTAACGATGTCTGAAATAAAGTTTTTTAAATATTATAAAACTTGTACCTAATATCTTTTTCAAAAGGTATTTAGTCTAAACACAGTCTTAGATAAAAAAGTTTGTTTGATATCGCTATTCTAAGCTGTTATTATTGAATTACTTCCAGTATATAAAATATAAACATGAATAAACACAAGAATAAGAGCAACACAATAGTATTTATTTATATTTGATTCTTTTTTTGTTAATTGTACTTATGTTGTACGATTGATGAAATAATATGTCAGAAAAGGTTAGAAACAATTTACGAATTTTTAGCTCACTTGTGAAGTCTCTCATTGCGACTACATCCACCATTCTACATCTAAATTTCATATTTAATAATACAATACAAAGTTTCTACAGTAACAACTAATAATAAAAATTTTTTTACGTAATGAATATTACGCGGGAATACGTGACGCAAGTTTTCCCGGTGTTTGACACGTAACAGGTTGCCTCTGCAATATAACAATGACAGTTTTTTAATTCTACTATATTTCAACTGTAAGAAAATAGTATAGGAAATTGAAAATTCTTTTGTCCATACAATATTCCTTGTATTAACGAATACTTAAAAAATTGTCACAAAAAAGATAATATCGCATTCTGCTTGATCGACCATATCTCGTCAACAAGATTTATGATACACCCTATAGATGTCATTAATATACACGTTTCAGTTAATTTTCGCGCGTGAAATTACCCTGCGTGGTGTGAACAGCGTATGACCCATAATCGGACGACGTGAGATCCAAGAGTCTCTTCTGTCAAGTTTTGTGTGTAAACAAAAGCGACACATCGATCACGAATATCCGATAGGTCGTATCCTTTCGTGTCACGCACAGTCCACGAAAATCGTTTGTACTTGACACACAGTCTTCGATACGTCCTCTCCCTTAGAGGTTGCGAATCTTTGTTATTCGGTCGAGGGTGAATTCGGCCATGTTGTCAAGTTCGACGACCGACAGAAATTTAAACTAGTAAATCGTGTCTTGTTAACCGTGTTCCTGGATCTGCTGGTGATCTGCGAACGATGCACTGATCGATATGCAGTTTGCCAGAAAGAGGTGAGTCTCTTTGTCTCTTTCTCGTGAACGTAAACGTGAACGCTATCCTCGTTGCTTTTTATTTGTATTTCTTCTGATTGTTCCACAACAAACATAGATTACGCTTGTAATTAAATCGGGTTGCTTTTTTTAAATAGAGGCTGCCATTAATTTCCTAATCAATTATCGATAAATTAAAAATATAATCAAGATATTCTCCATTTCTGTTGTGCTATGAGGTAGTTAACCCCAGTTACGGACTAATGAAAGTTAAAACGCCGGAATTAGTTATTTTTTTGAAAAAAAACTTGTTTTCTTAATGTCTAGTTAGTGGCGACTCTTTTTTTTTATAACCGTTAGAATACAGACATTCTTTAGTAGTATACTAATTTAAGAGTACAAGGTACTTTATTCTACGTAATAAATCGGGTATTGAACTCGTACGAAATTTCATAGATTTCTCATCGTTTGTTAATAAAAGCATTTTGAATATTGTACGAATATGTATTCATGTGATAATACGAGCGACGGAGTTAGTGAAACTGTAAAACCTCATTGTTCCTCCAAAATGTGCTCGCGGTAGCCAAGTATTTAAATGATCCGCGTGTATATTTTTTCCATTATCGAACGCCTAGTCGAGGCAGGTGGTAAAACACGTGGCATGCGTAGAAAGAACATGCACCGGTCCCGTGTATTTCTTTCCTTGTCTTCTTTCATCTTTTAGTCACTGTTGTGACCCTCTCTTTCCCACTTCCGTTTCTCGTCTCTCTCTCCATCTCCGTTTATCGCGCGCTCGCGTTATACACCTTCTGTCTTCGTATTACACGACATGCCGGTATGAAGAAAGCGCGATGTACCCAAGGTTCTCACCCTAGGTCATAAGATACATCGAAACACAAAGAGTAGGCACATTCTTTCGCGCGTTTCATGATACGTGCGTATCGCTGTAATGAAACGAAGACGGCCGTTAACACGATTAAATTATTTACATACATATTTCACCTCTAAAAAATAATTCTTATTATCTGTATATTTGTCACATGACTTATAAGTATTGAAACGGTTGATATGTCGCAATGTGTTTGGCGAAAAGGTCTCGTCGATACCACAAGGAACAAAATTTCGAGGTTAGCTGTGCTATCTTGCGTTGTCGAAGTTTTTGCATCGATATCGTCTTTCTCATTCGCGGATCCGGTAACCCAGAAAGGTATAAGGTAACGCGTGGAGAACTCTTCTCGAAAGGGTCAGCTTTCTCTTTCCGAAAGAAAATATTCGAGAGAAACAATCGGGCGGTAGCCATAGTGACACCACGCATCATACGAGAAAAGCGTAACAAAATACACATTGTGCTGAGATGTAGCACTTGGAGGCTTATGGTGGCACTCATGATGGCGGTCGTGTTGATTTTTTTTTGTTCAGGAAAGTATACCCTTCGGAATATTTTATATCATGTTTCCGGAAATGCAGGTTTTTAATCATTTATGTTAATAAAATATATGTGTATTATACTATATTAATTATACATATAATATTGAGATAATATTGCTCGATTTGGAATTTCTGTGGTATGCATCTAATTTACTTATCAAGGAGGCGCTTAAGCGACAGAGAATAAAACGGTATTATCTATTCAATGTTTAACAGGCGCCGCGGTATCTAACCTGGAAAGCCCTGATTAACCAGACACGCTTCTCGTAAACTGGATCCTCCCTTCTGACGTATCATCCGCTCTGGTCCCATTTCCCTATATTTGCTTTGCAGTAAAGGCAAAGAAACCAAGAAGAGCCGTAAAACCTACCGATAAATTCCTTCTTTAACAAGTTGTTCCTGGAAAGTCGACCTCGAATGGGACTTCATGCCTGTTCAAACGTGCATGTTATTAACCCTTTAGCGTTGAAGACCTGAATACTTTCACTAACAGCATGTTCAACACGAGTCACATATTACACCTTTCAATTTTTTCAACCAGAATAAAAAATATATTTCTTGTGAATGTAACTGATGGTATGTAATAAAACGAAACTTTTGTTTTTTTCATTCATATTCTCTATCAATTCTTCGTAACACGTTACGAATATTGTAAGGAATATATGTGACTATAGTACACCACGTTATAGCGAATTTAAGTAAATATTTGAAGCGTACATCGTGTGCTTCAACACAGATTATTGCATGTTTATACGAGGTAGTCAAATATACACATTCCCTGACCTATTCGAAAGTGACACATGTGTTTCATACACGATGGCGCTGCGCTTCATTTCTGTCTCGGTATTCGCAACTATCCCCTTCTCCTTCTACCCCCCCACACCTAACCAATTGAAGAAAGCGCTTAATCTTCCTAACCTTTCAATCTCTTACGAATCGAATATGAACCATAGAGCACAATAATGAAGTGACTTCCGTTCATTAATATCTTTCCCCGTATTGCGGTCCGTGGTTCAGCCCTCGAAATTAAAGGTCCAGATGGCACGAGTCCACTTCTGATCCATTTTCAGTTTTCGAGGATCGGCATGACCCTTTCTTTGCTAAACCCCTCGCCAAACTCATTTCGCCCATATTGTGTGTTCATCGATTCGCAGCAGCCGCGTTATTAATAGCACACTTGTTCGTACATAAACCTTCTTGATACTTACGAACGTTTGATTTTCGATTTTTAATCGACAGTCATAGAGTACATAGTTTATTTCTAGACAACGAACTCCCCTCCCTCATATTTCTATGACAGTCCCCGTACATCAATTGGTCAGTGGGGAAAAAGTCGTATTACATGGTTGGTGGTTGGTGAAACGCGCAATTATTCGTCTTGCTGCGAACTCATCTCCCTTCATCCCGGCTTCCAGAGCATGTAACGCTTCTACTTATCAATATTAACTCGCCTGTTGGGAGATAGAATGACGTCAACCCACGGACTCGGTGTCCCGCATGGCAACTGCCAAGGCGTGTTGAGCCAGGACGCAAGGACAAACAGACGCCGCATAGCGCACGCGGTGCGTTCAGGAACACATCACACTGTGGCGACACACACACACACACACACATCGTGGCCACACACACAGCACACACATCATGGCCACACACACACACACACACATACGCGCGCGCGCGACGGATGCACGACCGATCCATACAGAGAGAGAGAGAGATACACGCGTGTTTCGCTGCTCGTGTGCACGCAGCCCTCGTGCTGCGTTTCTTGCTCCGCGCACTGGCGTCCCCACCCTACTTACCGTCTTCGTCGCCCCCTCCCCTCTGCCGTTCTTTTCTTTACACCTTTTGTAAACTCTTCCTTCTTTTTTCGAACGCGTTTTCTTTCAGTCTCATTTCCGCCCGTCCGCTGTTTTTTTCTTCCTCTTCTCTTTCTACAGGTTTGCATCTTTTTTTTTTGTTCGCCAGCTAATTTTTCGCTGTCGCGCTACGTTAATTTGAAATATTTTTACCTGCGATTTTTTTCCTCCTTATCTCATGTTATCTAATTTTGTTTCTCAATCACTTTTTTGTACCTCTTTTGTTCCAGTGTTTCTTTTTATCCAGCGTGTTCCAACTGTGTGTTTCTGATGTATACGTGTTCCTTATCTATTATACATTCAGAGTCCCGTTTGTGTATGCATATACAGGTAATTAATTTGGAATGTGGTAAATGTCAGATCTAATTTAAACGTTTTTCGAATTTCGTTCTGAACAATGACTGTTATTTACTTTGTATATTTTTTTAAACAATGTCCTCTAGTTACATATTTAGATGTTTCCTCCAGAATCTTTTATCTCTACCTTGATCATAACATTCTTTCTCCACAGCATTTTCTCCTACCGGAACGCTGTATCTTTTTCCCCCGCGCATTTTCCTTCTCGCTTCATTATTGTACCCGTGTATGTTACAACCGTGCGTATACATGACTGTGTGTCCCTTCTCTGTTTCCCTCGATATCTCGCACTGAAGGGTACGCCGCTGAGCAGCACGCATCATTGCCGGGTGAAAGAGTCGAGGAGGGTTCCGTCTCTCGTCTCGTTTCTATGAACGTGGCAGCTGTCTTCTATTTGTCTTCCCGCCGTGTACGCCGAGCGCAAATCATCACGGCCAGACAGTATCGTTGCGAACCGCCACTCTGAAACGCGTGCGACAGGATGCTCTTTAATCTCACTGTAGGACTGATAAAAATGTCTACCGGCGACCGATTCGCAGATGTCATCGTTAAGGTTATGTTACCGCGTCACATTTGGCGCCCCGCGTCTGACTTTACTTAGCTGGCTTTGCTCAGTGGGCGAATTTCGCGTGTCGAATTTGTT